CCCCAGGCACGGCCCATTCACTCGCACAGCCTCCACACTCCCACGTGGAAACGCTGTAGTTGGTGGGATGCTTTCTTCCTGTCTCTTCCCAGCCAGGCCTGGGTAGAACCCTGGCGTCCTCGGCCGGGCCCGCCACCCTTCTTTCGTGACATACGCGGACATCGTATTTGCTGGGAAAGAGGGTGGTATTTGATTCCCAAGCACGGGGGGACGCACAGGTACCCTGTGGTCTGGACATGTGGGGACAGGGGTGCAATGGTGCCGTGGAGGTAGGATGGCACTTCTTCGGCCGGCTGGCCGGAGAAGCCCCTCGGCGGACGTTGTTGCTCATGCAGAGTCCTCCCGTGAGGAGCACTCACTGGGTGCAGGGTGGCAGGGGCCAGCAGGGAGCTAAGGGAGCAGGAGGAGGGTGACCGTCCCCGTGACCTGTGTTTGCCTGTCTCTTACAGAAAGGAAGGCAGAGAAAGCCGCGGCCGCTGGACCCCAGCGAGGGCTCCAAGGACACAGACAGTTCAGCTGGGCGGCGGGGCAGCGCGGGCAGAAGACATGGGCGCTGGCGGGGTCGCGCTGAGAGCCCCGGCATGCCCGTGGCCAAGGTGGTACGGGCCGTAACCAGCCGGCACAGAGCCAACCGCCGGGTCCCGCCAGCCCCACCCCCGGAGGCCCCAGGCCGCCAGAACCTCAGTGGGGCAGCAGCCGGGGAGGCGCTGGTCGGGGCAGCTGGCTTCCCGCCACACGGAGACACGGGGAGCGTGGAGGGCGCCTCCCAGCCCACGGACAACGGCTTCACCCCCAAGTGTGAGATTGTGGGCAAGGACGCGCTGTCTGCCCTGGCCCGGGCCAGCTCCAAGCAGTGCCAGCAGGAGATCGCCAACGTGGTGTGCCTGCACCAGGCCGGGAGCCTCATGCCCAAGGCTGTGCCCCGGCACTGCCAGCTGGCTGGTAAGAGTACGAGACAGGCACGGGCGCAGGGGTGGCAGGGTCTTCACCTCATTTCTCAGAGGAAGAAGGCTCAGAGGGGCTCACCTCCCTGGCTAAGCCGGCGATAACCTGCGCTGAGTGGCAGAGGCAGCACTGGGACCAGGGAGCGTCGGGCGGGCGGTCCCTCTTCCCATCTCAGCCCTGCCCCGTGGCCTGGGGAGGGGCCTCACTGATGCCCCTGGTCTCTCCTCTCAGGGAAGATGAGCCCCGGCATCCAGTGGGACGAAGTCCGGGCCCAGCAGCCCGTGGACGGCCCCCCGGTCCGAATCGCCTACATGCTGGTGGTTCACGGCCGTGCCATCCGCCAGCTAAAGCGTCTCCTCAAGGCTGTCTACCACGAGCAGCATTTCTTTTACATCCACGTAGACAAGGTACTGTTGGGGGGGGGGGTGGTAACCACA